TTTGTTGTTGCTTTTTAAAACCACTGTTGGGGATATCTAAGTGTTTTGAGACACCAGCAGGGGTCGTATCAGGGTCGTACCATTTCCATAACAAGCATTTACTTTCACATTCACTTCCAGTCAGTTAATCTTCACTTCTAAGAAGGACATCCTGTGTAGAACATTGTCGACATCCTGTGTGGTGAAGAGAGGCATTTTGCTCTGACATTTCCCTCATGTAATCAAAATAACATGAATTTTTTTTCCAATTTTCTGTCACTCTGGCCGATAAAAGCTGCGGGTTGTGTTTTTTTTTTTTTTGGTTGTCATTTCTTTTAGACCCTCTCACTTCTGTGAAATCACATGACCTATTTTGGTCATATGAAACACTATAAACGGGGCGTAGCTCCTTTCGCAGTCCTAGGGGTGCACCAGCAGCTCTACAGAGCCTCTGGAAAACCAGGAAGAGAAGGTACGATAGATTTACTGTCTACTTCAAAAAATATTGCAATTTATTTCAGATAATAGATAAAAAATGTGGATCTAAATTGATCACAATAAAACATCTCCATTTCATGTTATTAATACATCTATATGACTAATACAGTGTATTATGTCTGTATTTGTAGTATGAATCATATATAAGGAACGTTCCAATCAGTTAATCTTCATTTCCAAGACGGACATCCTCTGTAGAACATTGTCGACACCCTGTGTGGTGAAGGGAGGCATTTTGCTCTGACATGTCCTTCATGTCATCAAAATAACATAGAAATGTTTAAAAAGAAGTCCAGCTTAAGATTTCTTGAACATTTTAATTTTTTCCAATTTTCTGTCACTTTGGCTTGGAGATAAGAAGGTGAAAGTTTGAAAACTTTAAGCAAGCAAGGAACTAGGGAGAGATGCAGCTGAAATTTACCTATAGGTGCTTTAAAGAGTACATAATTAATATTTAAAAGGTTCACAAAGGTACCGTGACAATGCTGTGCAGAGTTATACTTAGTTGTATCAAATGCTTTATTTCATTAAGGTCATACATCACTTATTTCCTCTATGTTTATGCACAACACCCTGATGAAAGCTGTTGGTTGTTTTGTTTTTTTGTTGTTTCTTTTAGACCCTCTCTGTTCTTTGAAATCACATGACCTATTTTGGTCATATGAAACAATATAACTGGGTGTAGCTCCTTTCGCAGTCCGAGGGGTGAACCAGCAGCTCTACAGAGCCTCTTGAAACCAGGAAGAGAAGGTACGATAGATTACGGTCTACTTTAAAAGATATTGCAATTTATTTCAGATAATAGATAAAAAATGTGGATCTAAATTGATCACAATAAAACATCTCCATTTCATGTTATTAATACATCTATATGACTAATACAGTGTATTATGTCTGTATTTGTAGTATGCTTTTGATATAATTGACACTTACAAAAATAAACTATTTAAAGAGCAAACCAGAGTTTTAAAAAACAGGTGTGATCATGTGTTATATGGGAATTAATTTTTTAAGCTCTACTGAAAGTCTGTAGATATACAGCAAAGTATTTATAGTTTTTTATAAAGGTTTTGAATGTTTTTTAAGTAAATGAAACGATTTTACTAAATATTGAATGGAGCAGATCTGGCTGCTCGAAGTAGACTATAAAACCCACATTTCTAACACATCTAGAGGTGTGGTTGGAGGATTATGGAGAAGGAAAGAAGTGAAACTCAGGATGAAAAACTTTTCATTTGTCTTGATTACATCGATGTTTTAATGGTTCTGCAATTCAACTCGAACTGCTTTAGGATCAATCAGAGAAACTTATCTGCATCTTAAAAGATAACTGTCACTACTACAGGAAAAATGAAGTTGTGTAACTATGGCTTTGAGATTAGATTTTTTTTTTGTTCTTTGCACCTCCTCCTGGAAATTTTCTATTACAGCTGAAAAAAAGCAAAAATATCTGTTAAAAGTAACCATGCAACAGTCATCTGATTGAAAGGTTATTTAAGATAAAAGCATAACCTACAAAAATTAACTATATACGGCATATTCAATAATTGTCTATCAGTGGGTTTGTTTCATAAATGTCAACTTTTCTCTTTATTTTGGGTTGCTGCTTCTCACCTTCCTCATTGTAAACTGTTGGATGAATTGATAGAACGGAAAAATCCAGAGGAACATTACATGTTAAAACTTAAGTTTAACCTGTGAGACTGAGACTCATGAAGACTCAAAATGTCATGAAGATTGGTCGAGTTATTCTGTAATTATAAAGACAGAAAAGTACCAGGAAAATAGAGATTCATATAAAATTTGAGTCTGCTGGAATATGATAGTATCAAAATCTTCTCTTGAATATGTGCAGCAAGTTCTGAGCAAATATTTGCATTAATGAGAAAAACGATGGTAGAAACTTATATTTACTGACCCAATAAAAATGATTCATTATAAATTGTCCAGGTACACAACAATTTTGAAAAAATAGGAATGAATTCAATACACTCATCTATCATTAATGCAGAATGATCCAGTATTTGGATGAATCTGATGTCCCTAATGTTTAATTATATGCTTCTTATAATACACATACATACATACATACATACATACATACATACATACATACATACATACATACATACATACATACATACATACATACATACAATATACATATGCTCTGAATTTCCATATCAATGCGTTTGCATTTGATTTGATCGATACTGCACCTTATGGAATGGAAAAGTTTATTTACTGTCTCAACTAAACAAATTTTTGTTTTGTATATGCTGTGTATACAAAATTACAATATAAGTTATCTATCATATTTTATCTATTCCTCACAGACCTCTGATTTGGGGACCACAATGGCACAGTGAGTATATCTTGATAAATAACCCAAATTAATGAACAAATGATCCACAAGTTTCCCAGTCAAAAGAAGTTCTATGATTTACTATGTCTGTCAGAATTACAGAGAAAATAACACGGTGTCATGATTCAGCACTTTTTGGTTCGGTTTAAGTTCAGTTTCTCTTTGATTAATGTTTTTCTTTCTTTTCTAGTTTTATTGGTTTCATTCCCATTTTTCTGTGTTTTCTGGTTTTATTTGAGTTCTTATGAAGACTGGTCTTTGTTCAGTCTCCCGTTTATACTCCTCCTCTTCAGTTACTGTTTGCTGGTTCCTCGTCATTTCTTTATCCTCATGTATGTTTTCCCTGAAGTTTTGTAGTCCTTGGTTTTCTGGGTTTTTTTTTTTTTTTTTGCATCAGTTGCAAAAACCCTTCGGACTAAAAAAACCTGCAAGACATCACCCCAGCTTCCTTCTCTGCATTTGGGTCCCCTTCAAACCTCCACTCGACCTTTTCCAGCTTCATATTGTCATTACACTCTCACAAGTACAGAGCAACGAAATTAAGTCTCTGCATTTAACCCATCCCCTTGGGGAGCAGTGGGTTGCCATTGTGCGGTGCCCGGGTTAAGGGTTTTTGTGAAGGGACCCAGAGTGGTAGTGGGGCTTGAACTCAGAACCTCTGGATTCCAATTAAATGCCCTAAACACTAAGTCGCCACTCCCCACCACACCTTGTCCAGCATGTTACATTATCCTGGAGCTTGTTGCTGCAAGTCTACAATTATTCTAATAAAAAGGAAAACACAAATCTCACACATACATATTACAGAGATACAGAATCGTTCAGTTTTTACACGGACATAACTTCTGTTTCTGTCCAAAGATTCTGGTGGGCTTTTCAGCCAGAAACCAAAACAGTTTAGGGGGAGTGTTGGCCTAGTTGTTAAAGCAGAGTGCTTGTGCTCTGAGAAGGTTGGAAGTGCCTGGTTTGAGCCCCACACCCTGCACTTTGGATATCTGGGCATAGGGCTTTGGGGCATAGGGCTTTGAATTCTAAGATTGTGAGTTTGATCCCCCATTCCCACAGACTGCAACTCTGGGTCCCTCAGCAAGACCCTTAACCCCACACTGCTCCCCGGGTGCCGCACAATGGCAGCCCACTGCTCCCCAAGAGGATGCGTTAAATGCAGAGGTAAAGTTCTCCAAGCGTGAGGTTAATAAAGTTAAATTATTATTAATGTGGGAATATTTTCACAAATTATTGTATTAAACTGTTAAATTAGTTTTTCAGTGTCAATGCCCTTCTAATACTGTTTTAAGAAAGCTTAGAAATAAGACAGCAGAAGTTTACATCCACATGATACTGGCAAGAATTGGCTACAAGGAAAGCAAAAAAAAATGTAATAAAAAATAAATACATATTTATCAAAATAAGTGTGCTTGCCATTCCTTTAGGAAGGTAAGTAAAATTAACGGCCAATAAAATTTTTATTTTTTGGCCCCTAGATATAGATTGAATCCCAGTCGACCTTCCGAGGCTAACTGGGATTCAGGGAGATGGAAGCAGAAAGAAGGAAGCAAAGATACAAAAAGCTACTGTTAACCAGCTCCACAGAAGGCCCCGTCCAGGAAAGACACAACCAGGCAGACGAGCTCTGAGCCAGCTGCCCAGGGTTACACTGAAAAAACAGGCAGATCTCCAACATCTTTAAATAAAGGTGTTGATGGCAGCAGCACAGCGGATATTTCTCTCCAGGATGGAGTCACAGCCAAACAGAAACAGATCAGGTGAAGCTACTATGAGAAAAAGCAGAGAGAGCAGAACGTTAGAGATTGTGCAACCTTTAGTCCAGCCTTGAAGTAACAAATGCATGGACTAGTTTCTCAGCATGATCTCTGGACAGGATATTTCTATTTGTAATATTCCGCGAATGAAAGAAGGAAATTCTAGACAACTCTTTGATATGCCAATTAAATGACAGGTACTGATCAAAAATAATAGCTCTGTTTTTTTACTCTATCATCTAAGATCAAATTAATTCCATCCAAATGAAATTACTATATAATCAGCTTCTTTTTCAGAGACTCTAATGCACTGTGGTACATAATTCTTTTAAACTATGAATGTTAATTTATAGCATGTGTTGAACATCTTCTCTTCTTTTACAGGAACAGTAATTTTTCAGAGATTGAGGACATCATCTCCAAAAGTGATCTAGTTTGTCCAGGTCCTCCTAAGATCTATCAGCTGAAAACAAAGAAAGAGAAGATTAAATCTCTGACCAAAGTAACTGTTGGAGAAAAAAACGAGAACAAACTAAAAACCATCTTGCTTGTTGGTGAAACAGGAGCTGGAAAATCTAATCTAGTCAATGCTTTGTTCAACTACGCTGAGGGTGTAAAATTTGAGGATGAGATCTGGTTTAAGATAGTTGAGGAGAAAGAGGACAGAAGTCAGACAGGAAATCGGACATCAGATGTAGTCGTCTATCAGATATATGATTCTGAGGATCAAACTCTGCCATTCTCTCTGACCATCATTGATACTCCTGGATATGGAGATGCAGGGTTGCAACAACAATTACTGGAATTATTCCAATCAGATGATGGAATCCATGAAGTTCATGCAGTAGGACTGGTCATGAAGGAGGATGGGAATCCAGTCAGTGACCAACTGAAGAACATCTATGATTTCATTTTGTCCCAGTTTGGAAAAGATGTGGAGAAAAACATTGTAGCTCTCCTGACAAACTCAAATGGAAAACAACCTAAAAAGATTCTTCAGGCTCTTGAAGCTGCAAGCATCAAATGCGCCAAAAATGTTAAAAATCAGACAGTTTATTTCCAGTTTGATAACTGCCAGGATGAAGAAAGAACAGAAGATTCAGAATTATCAATAGAAAATGCCTGGAGAGTAACAGAAAGAGGAATGAAACAGCTCACAGCCTTTCTGGAAAAATCTTCACCTCAGCAGAAGAAGGTCGTGTTGAAAGCACAGAAAGATCAGATCAGACTGACGGCCTGCATCCAAAACCTGCAGGAGAGAATAAAGTTTAATGAGTTAAAACTGAGAGATGTTAGAATGACTGAAGAGGCTCTTTGTAACAGAAAACAGAAGTGGAAAAATTATAAGAAGACAAAGTTAACTATTCCAGAGACCTATAAAGATGCAGAGCCTCTTACAGATAAGAGATTTGGTTTTGAAACAGCTTTCTGCTGTTTGCGCTGTCAGGAGAACTGTCACTATCCTGGCTGTATGACCGCCTTAGATTGTCAACAGTGTGAGGTGATGATAAATGGAGAATGTACCTCATGTACCAACAAGTGTTCTGCAGGAGAACATGGGGAAAAAAACTGGCGATTTGTGATCAGGACCCAGAAAGTTCTGAAAAATAAAGACGAACTACAACAACTATATAAAGGGGAACAGAGAATAGAAGAGAAAAATCTTTTAGAGAGACTTCAAACTAAGAAAACAGAACTGACAGCAGAGAAGAGACGACTGATAAATGAAGCATACAGGCTTTTCATGAAACTGTATGAGTTAGCTAAGAATGATGATTCGAATGATGACTCAGCATCCACTTGTGTAATTTTGGACTACCTTATCAAGAAGATGAAGGGACAATGGGATGAAGAAACGCTGCAGCAACTGGAGGAAATATACAGCGGAATGGACCAAGGAACCAGAACATCGCTACAATACAGGTACAGTTAGTTTCTGAATGTCATACTTTTTCCACACTTTTCTATGTCATAGCTTCCCAGACAACTTTGACATCTGACTACATATGACCTCTGGGGGCCCACAGTTAATAATACACAATATGGAAGAAAATACTTAAATGTTTCATTACTTTCATTTGCTATTTAATTACTACAACAGTTGTTTAGCGTTATAATATTACCTCAAGTCGTTTTGCTATTCTTTGAAATTCCCACTGAATAATAATCCTTTCAACAAACTATTGATGATGCAAACAACAAGAGCAATTAAGTGTGTATATAGTGGGAGGGCTGGACTTCAGGTTTATGACGCCTTAGAAGCAAAAACTCTGTCCTATTTTCCTTAATCCTGTTCACTTAACCAGGTGATTTTAAACCAGCTGTCTTAAGTTTCCCATCCTTGAGCCAAAATTGACGTGGTGGGGGTGTTTAAGTGCTCCAAAGATCCCATTGGCTATTTTCTAGGGTCTACTAAGACAGTGTATTGGGACAGGCAAAAAGCTATTCAAAATGCTGACACCTCAGACTGGAGCAATGCCTGGGGTTTAGGGTTCATTGGCAAGCTTCTGCAAATGAACACAAAGTTTAGATGAGAGATGCAATGGCATCCTCCAGCCGGGAACCAGGAGGGACTAGCTCAGGGGTAACCAATTAAAAATCAGCGGGGTCCGAATAAAGAATATCAACAGCCAGTAAAGGTCAGATAATTCAGGCACTGCATCGTTATTATCATTGTCTGGGAAACCACAATGTTTTACGTCAACTGGCAACATTCAGTCTGCACATAGCTTAACACCACTGGCATGTGCAGGACCCAAGCAGATGTGACTACCTGAGCAAATCAAGTTCCTACACCAGTCAGAGAGGCTTCCATCTTAACTGATCTCTCATTAGACTGATGGAGGTATAATGCTAATTATGATAATGGAAGGAACACGATTGCCGTGACTTGGCAATTCACATGAATCAAGTCAAGTGTATTCGCAGGTCAGGAAGGGGAAGTCAAAGTCAAGTCAAGTCTTTAGTTAAAATTCAATCAAGCACACAAATCTGGCGTCGAGACAGACTCTAGTCAAGTCATTGACTCGACTCCCCCCATATCTGACAATTAGTAATAAACTTGGTTGAAATCACATTGACAGAAATATTTGAGAATAGTGTTAAAAATGGAATGTCACCTCACTGGCGGGGAAGGAGCCCGAGCTTGTGCGGAAGGTGAAGCTAGAAATAGTTGGCCTCTCCCCCACACACAACCAGGGCTCTCGAACCCAGCTCCTTTAGAGAGGCTGGACTCTCTTCTACTCTGGAGTGTCCCGCGGGGAGAGGCGGAGGGTGGGGCTGCTTGTCTCCCCCCAGCTCAGTCGTCTCGTGTTGGAGTTCACCCGAGACGAGAGGGCCGCATCCCTTCGCCTTTGGGTTGATGGGAGGACTCTGACCGTTGTTTCGGCCTATGGGAAAGACGGCAGTACGGAGTACCAGGCCTTCTTAGCATCCCTGGGGAGGGTGTTAGAAAGCGCCCCTCCCGGGGATTCCATCATTCTGCTGGGAGACTTCAACGCTCACGTGGGAAATGACAGTGACACCTGGAGGGGCGTGATCGGAAGGAACGGGCCCCCAGCTCTGAACCCGAGTGGTGTCTCATTATTGGACTTCTGTGCAAATCACNGACTCTAGTCAAGTCATTGACTCGACTCCCCCTATCTCTGACAATTAGTAATAAACTTGGTTGAAATCACATTGACAGAAATATTTGAGAATAGTGTTAAAAATGGAATGTCACCTCACTGGCGGGGAAGGAGCCCGAGCTTGTGCGGAAGGTGAAGCTAGAAATAGTTGGCCTCTCCCCCACACACAACCAGGGCTCTCGAACCCAGCTCCTTTAGAGAGGCTGGACTCTCTTCTACTCTGGAGTGTCCCGCGGGGAGAGGCGGAGGGTGGGGCTGCTTGTCTCCCCCCAGCTCAGTCGTCTCGTGTTGGAGTTCACCCGAGACGAGAGGGCCGCATCCCTTCGCCTTTGGGTTGATGGGAGGACTCTGACCGTTGTTTCGGCCTATGGGAAAGACGGCAGTACGGAGTACCAGGCCTTCTTAGCATCCCTGGGGAGGGTGTTAGAAAGCGCCCCTCCCGGGGATTCCATCATTCTGCTGGGAGACTTCAACGCTCACGTGGGAAATGACAGTGACACCTGGAGGGGCGTGATCGGAAGGAACGGGCCCCCAGCTCTGAACCCGAGTGGTGTCTCATTATTGGACTTCTGTGCAAATCACGGATTGTCCATAATGAACACCATGTTCAGGCATAAGGATGTCCATCGGTGCACTTGGCACCTGGACATCCTAGGCCGAAGGTCGATGATCGACTTTGTAGTTGTATCTTCTGATCTTCGGCCGCATGTCTTGGACACTCGGGTGAAGACAGGGGCGGAGCTGTCCACCGACCACCACCTGGTGGTGAGCTGGATACGCTGAAAGACTCGGCAGGCCCAAACGTGTAGTGAGGGTCTGCTGGGAACGTCTGGTGGAGCCCTCGGTCAGGGACGTGTTCAACTCCCACCACCGGGAGAGCTTCTCTTGTTCCGAGGGAGGTTGGAGACATGGAGTCCGAATGGGCTGTGTTCTCTACTTCTATTGTCGATGCAGCTGCCCGTAGCTGTGCCCGTAAGGTTTGTGGTGCCTGTCGTGGTGGCAATCCCTGAAAACGGTGGTGGACACCGATAGTAAGGGATGCTGTGAAGCTGAAGAAGGAGTCCTACCGAGCTTGGCTGGCTTGTGGGACTCCTGAAGCAGCAAGCAGGTACCGTGAGGCCAAGCGTGTTGCGGCCCGGGCTGTTGCAGAGGCAAAATCTCGGGCCTGGGAGGAGTTCGGAGAGGCCATGTAAAATCAGTTGGCCTCAAAGCGATTCTGGCAAACCGTACAGCGCCTCCGGAGGGGAAAGCAGTGCTTCACTGACACTGTTTTCAGTGGGAGTGGGGAGATGCTGACCTTGAAGGAATACTTTGAGGATCTCCTCAACCCGACAGACACGCCTTCCGTGGGGGAAGAAGAGACGGGGTGCTTGGGGCTGGATTCGTTCATCACCCAGGCTGAAGTCACAGAGGTGGTCAAAAAACTCCACGGTGGCAAGGCTTCGGGGGTGGACGAGATCCGTCCTGAGTATCTTAGAGCTCTGGATGTTGTTGAGCTGTCATGACACGTCTCGTCAACATCGCATGGAGGTCAGGGACAGTCACCCTGGATTGGCAGACTGGGGTGGTGGTTCCCCTCCACAAGAAGGGGGACCGGAGGGTGTGTTCCAACTATCGGGGAATCACACTTCTCAGCCTCCCCGCAAAGGCCTATGCTGGTGCTGGAGAGGAAAGTCCGGCTGATTGTCGAACCTCGGCTGCAGGAGGAGCAGTGTGGTTTTCGTCCTGGCCGTGGAACAGTGGACCAGCTCTACACCCTCTGCAGGGTGCTTGAGGGTTCATGGGAGTTTGCCCAACCAGTCCACATGTGTTTTGTGGACTTGGAGAAGGCATTCGACCATGTCCCTCATGCTGCCCTGTGGGGGGTGCTCCAGGAGTATGGAGTCGGTGGCCCTTTACTAGGGACCATCCGTTCTCTATACAAGCGGAGCAGGAGTCTGGTTCGCATTGCCGGCATTAAGTTGGACCTGTTCCCAGTGCATGTTGGACTCCGACAGGGCTGCCCTCTGTCACCGGTCCTGTTCATAACTTTTATGGACAGGATTTCTAGGCGCAGCCAAGGACCGGAGGGGGTCTGGTTTGGGGAACAGCAGATCTCATCCCTGCTTTTTGCGGATGACGTAGCTCTGCTGGCTCCCTCCTGCCAAGACCTACAGCGTGCACTGGGGCGGTTCGCAGCCGAGAGTGAAGCGGCCGGGATGAGAATCAGCTCCTCCGAATCCGAGGCCATGGTTCTCGACCGGAAAAGGGTGGCTTGTCACCTTCAGGTTGGAGGAGAGTCCCTGCCTCAAGTGGAGGAGTTCAAGTATCTTGGGGTCCTGTTCACGAGTGAGGGAAGAATGGAGCAGGAGATCGATAGACAGATCGGTGCGGCTGCTGCAATAATGCGGACCCTGCACCGGTCTGTCGTGGTGAAGAGAGAGCTGAGCGAAAAGGCAAAGCTCTTAATTTACCGGTCGGTCTACATTCCTACCCTCACCTATGGTCATGAAATCTGGATCATGACCGAAAGAACGAGATCCCGGATACAAGTGGCTGAAATGAGCTTTCTCCGTAGGGTGGCTGGGCTTAAAAATGATAACCTTAATTAACTTACCCTTAAAAACACATTGTCACAGGGTAATTATGACTCTTTCAATCATTCTAATTTCTAATACAGTATAAGATATAGTAAAATAATCTTTTAGCAGGTTGTGAGCATTTATGCTCTCTGCACTGCTGCCACTTGCTCCTTCTTTTGTCTTTCTTTCACACAACAAGTTGTGCTTAGCTGCTCTTAAAAATACCCCAGGGATCCCTGTTACCTCCACAGCTTTATAGTTCTTAACCATGGTATCAAACTGCTGGTTATAAAGTTAAGGCTCATCTCACATCAGCTTAGCTCTTTGATGCTGGTAACTAGCAGTCCGGGTTAATTGTACACACACAGAGGAGGAGAGGCGGAGTAGTTGAACACATGGCCTGGAGCCTTATTTGGCACTTTTCTTCCTTTCATACAACACAGGATCTTTGATGGCTGTAACCAGCATTATTTCACACACACTTCGCCGGCGAGAGGGACGCACACTTTCTTTTATTTACATAACATTATTCACAAAACACAATACAGCTATGTGCTGACTATGTCACACACTACCCATCAGGCCACCTCCTTAAAGGAAAATGCTCAGGCCGGTAACAGCCCCATAACAAGGCACTTGATTCCAAGGTTTAATTTAAGTTCCTTTGATAATTTATTAGAGGAGCAAATGGGAAAAAGTTTAAAAATATAAATAAGTTATCCTCTTTTCTGCAGGATGGAAGTGACTTCATCTAATCAGGAGGCCTTGAGATCAGAAGGTGTTCAAATCCATCGTGGACCTCCTTCTGTCTACCAGCTGATACCAAAGAAAGAGAGGATTGGAACTTTGACCAGAGTGACGGTTGGTGAGAAAGATGAGAATAAGACCAATAAAACAATCTTATTTGTTGGCGAAACTGGGACAGGAAAGTCCACCTTGATCAACACTCTGTTCAACTATGCTGT